CAAGGCCACTGGTCAGCAGTTATAACAGAGAGATCAGCACCAGTATCTAATAACCCAATAAAAGATTTTCCTTGAATTAACAATTTTATTTCTGGCCTATTAGCTCCAATAGACTGCACCCAATAAACATCTGAGGACCCAAAACCTTTATTCCCTCTAATGGCTTTTTTATATCTTCCTGAAGTGACTACTCTGGGTAAAATAATCAATTGAGCTATACGCTGTCCAGGCTGAATAACAGAAATTTGAGAAGGTGAACAAACCATAATTTTAATTTCTCCAGTATAGTCCTCATCAATAATTCCTGGGGAAATCATAAGCCCTTTCATAATAGAGGAACTCCTACCTAACAAGAGACCCAAAGTATCTTTAGGTAGTGGCCCAAAAGCTCCAGTGGGTAGGGCTTGCATTCCCATTTCAGGGGTTAATACTGCATAGGAGGAGGAACTGAGGTCCAATCCTGCGCTGCCTGAGGTGGCTCAGAATAAGTCCTGAATGGATTTTTTCACTGATTTTGAGGGATCAGATTCTGAAAAGCCCCAAAAGTTTGATACGGGGCCTGGGGCAGGCCCCACCGTCGTTTCCCGATGGAATAAAATTCCCCATGGCATCTTTTTTGGATTTACATTCATTAGCCCAATGATAATCCTCTTTTACATCTAGGGCATAAACCAGGCTGCTTGGAAGAAAGCCCACCTTCTTTTCGTTGAGGGCAATTTTTTATCAAATGTCCTGCTTGACCACAACCAAAACAATTCCTATTATTTCCCTTTTTCTGAGGACTTCTGTGTTGCTGAAATAAGACCTCTTTGACGGTCTTTCCCTGTAAAGTCGCAGCCATGGCAAGACCCTGGGTGTAAGAGGGGCCAATATCAGCACACAAACGAACATAATCAGATAAATCAGCCTTCTTTCTAAAAGGACGAAGGGCAGCTTGGCAGGCAGAATTAGCATTCTCATAAACCAATTGGTTTACTAAAACTATACTAGCTTCAGATTCTCCTATGACTCTGCTGGCAGTTTGTAACAAACGATCCACAAAATTTTGAAAAGGCTCATCAGGTCCCTGTCTAATTTTAGAAAGATCTTCTGAGGCTCGTCCAGATGAAGGAAGTTTTTTCCAAGCATTTTTAGTGGCAGTATTAACCTGAGTATACACACCTGGGGGAAAACCTAATTGCTGAGTAACCTCAGCATAAGGTCCCTCTCCTGCTAGCATCTCATAAATTGCATAAAGTTCTCCTTGTTGTCTATTAAGATTTGCTATTCTCTGGCATTGTTCTGTATATTCAGATTTCCATAGCAAATAATCACCCCCAGAAAGACAAGCTTTAGCAATTTATTTCCAGTCAAATGGAGGGAGAGCATCAGTGGACAAAGAATCTAGCAAGGCTTGAGTGAACGGAGCAATAGGGCTATACTGAGCA